ATTAAAAGTTTTAAGGAATCTGGAAGAATTCTAGTGCGTAAAGGACAAGGGCGCAGGCCTAAGCTGAACAACCTCTCTACGATCTCTCAGGCGCACTGCATCAAGAATCCTTATTCATCTATAAACAATATCACCACTTGGGCTCAGGACTACACTGTAAAAAATGCAGAGTTCCACACAATTCATTAATGGTGTCCCAACACAAGTTGATTAAGTTAACTTTAACACTTTTAACAAAAATATGTGAATTGAACATAAAAATTTAAGTTGTCCCAAATCTCAAGTTGATTCAGCCTATTTTAAATAAGTAGTTTGCACACAAATATATATATATATATATATATATATATATATATATATATATATATATATATATATATATATATATATATATATATATATAGTTTTTTTGAGTGTACTTTAGCAAACCTTTGACAAGTACCATACGTGTTACATACAGTTACAGTACATCCACAAATTAAAACTGCACTGTGTCAAAAGGAAGCCCTTTGTTAACTGTGTCCAGAAGCGCCATTGACTTTTCTGGGCCCGGATGCATCTGGGATGGACCATCACACAAGTGGAAAACGTGTACTGTGGTCAGATGGACCAGTATTTCAGGTATGTTTTTGGGAGAAATGGATGCTGTGTGCTCATAACCAAAGAGGAATAGGATCATCCAGACTGTTACCAGCAACAAGTCCAAAAACCAAGGTCTGTCATGGTATTGGGTGGTGTCATTGCTCTTGGCAAAGGTAACCTGCACTTCTGTGATGGCAACTTTAATGCTGAAAAGTACATAAAGATTTTGAAGCACAATATGCCGTCTTGTTTTCCAGAGGTGCCCTTGCATATTTCAACAAGAGAATGCAAAACCACATTCTGCACACATTATAAAGTCCTGGCTGCGGAGGAAGAAGTTACAGGTACTTCACTGGCCTGCCTACAGTCCCGACCTGTCTCCGATAGAGAATGTGTGGAGCATTTTAAATGTGAAAATAAAGACCCAATACTGTCGCCCAACTTAAGATTTGGATGTCTTCTGGATGTCTTCATCCCTAAATGTCTTTTAAGTGTTGTGAAATGGAATGGTAACTTTCCAAAGTGGTATATGCTTTATTGGTCCAATTTTTTTGGAAATGTGTTGCAAGAACCAAAATTGGAATAAATGTTATTGAAATAATAATATTATTGATAATAATAATAATAATAATAAAACAAGAATTGTAGGATATTAGGCGTATTGTAGGATAATATACACTATTGTAGAAATCAATATTGTCGGGTCAGTTGATGATTAATTCAAATAGTAAAATTTAAAACACTATGGTAATAAAATAAAACATGACTCACAAAATATGGACAACTGCTAATTTATGGATATCATTTACAGTGTATTAAAAATGATTTAATGATTTACATTTAAAAAAAAATACCTCCAATCTTGAAAAGAGGATAGTTCACCTGAAAATGATAGGATAATTTACTCATTACTTAACTTACTCCAAATCTCTTTACGTTTTTTTTTCTTCTAAAAGAAGAAATTCTGAAGAAAGCTGCAAACCTGTAACCATTGACATCCATACTATTTAATTTTCCTATACAACATTAACCCAGAGTTTATGAATGTCTGAAATGTCAGTGTTTGAATATCCAGGAATAATTGTTAATCCTGGTTAAATGATGATCAGTGTCAGATGTGAAGCAAGAGACTCTATCCAGAGTTTAAGAATGATCAGGGTCAACCTGTTCAAGTGTGAAAGGCCTATAAGACTGAGCAACAGAGGGCATTGTGGGTCGAGTTTTGCTGTAGTTCACAAAGCTGTGATGTCCACATGAGACAATTTTTATCCGATATCCAGATCAATAATACTCAGCTATTGAACGACCAACCACAGGGGTGGGAGAGTATAGATGGATGAAGTGAAAGCGGTAAAAATAGAAACAGACAGACATAAAAAAGAGGAGGGTGAGGATGAAAAGAAAAAAAAAATAGGAAAAAATGGTTGAGGGGACAGACAAGAGAAAGGAAGAGAAATGGCCTGTATTACTGATGTTCACTAGTCCTATTTATAGACTGAATGGTCAAGTCTCTCTCTCTCTCTCTGTGTGTGTGTCTGTGTTTGGACTGATTGATGATGTGAAGAGGAGGAAAAGAGCCTAAATCAGGCAGAAATCAAGCAGGTACTCTTGAGTGAACAGTGCAATTACAACACACACATACATACACACACAAACACACACAGACTAGCCTACATCAGGCAGACAGACTGTACAAACATGCACCAGGGACTTTTATTAAATTCTCTTATTTTTAACACTCGTTGAAGTGTTTAAGTAAATACATCTTTTCAATATCAGTGGCTAAATGACACAAAGTTGCTATTGTGTGGATTGCTTAACAGCCTGCTTCTCCCTAAATGTGTGTGTCTATTACAAAACACTCAGACCAATGAACATTGCAATGAAACATACTGCTTAGCAGAAATGTTAATGAAATGTAGTACATCATAATAATATATATAGCAGTAATAATTGCTCAAGTTGATATTCTGGGTGTACTCTATTATTCTATATATATACACACAGACAGACAGACAGATAGATAGATAGATAGATAGATAGATAGATAGATAGATAGATAGATAGATAGATAGATAGATAGATAGATAGATAGATAGATAGATAGATAGATAGATAGATAGATAGATAGATAGATAGATAGATATGGAGTAGTCAGCATTATAAGTGGCATATAAGTCAGCATTCTTAACCTTAGACAAGAATGATAGACAAGAATGATAGACAAGAATGATAATTGTTCAATAGTTATAGGACAACTTTTGGTTAAATGTTGACTAATGTGTATATTTTTCCCAGGTATTTTACTATTACCAAACTACATCATTTACTACATCAAGGCCTAAAGTGAAACTACTTATATTCTGTTGTGTTTAATTGTTAACCAGCTTTCCTTTTACCAATAAAATTATCTAAAACCTATATGTATCTTATTGTGTTATGTACAATTCATTCAATGCCCACAAGAAAGATGTGATTCAATAGAAATTGCACTGTAAAACATTTTAAGCCAGTACAACAAGGAAAAACATAATCCGCATTTCCTTTCACTTTTTCTTGTTCACCCAACTCTTGAAAACATCAGCTGCACTGACCAAAAATTATTTGTCAGTGACAAAAAACATTTAGTTGGGTTAACATAAGATTATTAGTTTTCTGGAGGGGTGAACTACTCTGTAACAAAAAAATGTAAGTTGTGCCAACTGAACATCTTTTGTCGGCGGAACTGGAATGGCTGAAGTTAAGTGGCCATAACAAAAAACAAAAAACAAAAACATAATCCTTATTTCCTTTAGTTTTTTTGTGTTATCATAATTTTTAAATGTCTTTTAACAGAATTTAATTTTAACCTTTTATGGATAGGATGGTAGAAAGTGTAGACAGGAAACTGTGGGGACAGTAGAAGGATCGGCATAGGACCTCAAGGCAGGAATTAAACTCTGGCCACCACAAACACCAGAGTGCCATGTGTTGGCACACTAACCACTACACCATAAGCACCAACGTGTATTCAAGCTTTTAAAAAAATCAGCTGCACTGACAAATGTCTGAAGTTGAGTGAACATAAAACTCTTGTGAAAATTGGTACTAAGAAATAATACATTTACTGGACAAACAAACATAGTTTAATTGAAAAAAAAAAAAAGAAACACTAAAACAGAGACAATTGTTAACAAAACACTTATTAGACACAGCATTATAAACAGGACAGGAGGCAAAACAACAATAACAATAAACAAGCCAAGGACCAAAACATGGCAGGACAAACAGGGAAAATGCTTTGAAATGCTTCATATCTGAAGCATGCCTTCCTGTTTTATTTTTTAAACTCAACTATGTTTGTTTGTTTTGATAATGTATTATTTCTTAGTACCAATTTACAAAAGAGTTTTTTGTTCACTCAACTTCAGACATTTGATGTATAACTGACAAATAAATTTAAAATAAGAGAGTGAAGTTGGGTGAACAAGAAAAAGTGAAAGAAAAGGATTATGTTTTTAGTTGTTGTACTGACTTAAACCTTTTATAGTGTGCCCCTTTTTCTAGAAGTGCAACCTAAAAAATGCTGCATTCCCCACAATTCCTTCATGTTGCCTCAATGCAAATCAATTAAGTAAATGTAGTCGTTTTACAAATTTAGGTTGATTGAGCATAAAACAATTAAGTTGTTCCATAAAAATGAGGAACTGTTATTTTAACTCATTTTAAATAAGTAGTTTGAACAAGCAGCAAGTCTTCAGAAGTTAGCAGAGACTTTGCAAAGGTAAAGAATCCTGAAACATGCCAATTAATTATAACATAAATTGTCTTATAATATATAAAGACTCATTTTTGGTTATACATAGGCTGATAGATTAGTTAACTCTTAAAAAAAAAATAGATTGATGCTATTCTTTTATATTTTAGAAACAACATCTTCTGTTTTTCTTAGTGTTGCCACAAATTAAAATATTGAAAGGGTTAATTCACCCAAAAATAAAAACTCTGTCATCATCTATTCATCCTCCACTTGTTCCAAACCTGTTTGTCTTTGTGTTAAACGCAAAGATATTTCAGAGTATGTTGTAAAGCATCAGCCTTTGACAGCTTTGGTATATATTTGGATGAGCTATCCCTTTAAGTTTATTGTTTTGAGCCATTCAAAGTTCCCATTGTTCACTTTAATGACCAAAAATAAAAATAAAAATAAATACTTAATAAATGAGTTGCTTTATTGTAGTTCAAAGCTTATTTTGTTATGTAGAGTATTATGAGAATGATTTTACAGAATAAATATAATAACTAACTGCAAAAGCATTCTTTTTTCAGGTAAATCTCGTATTTTAGAAAAAAAAACAACCATTTTGTTTTTTTGTGGCTGTGGAGACTATCTCTTGAATCCAACTCCCAACAAACACACAACGTTGCCGTAACGTAGCGACCTTCCTACAACGTTGTACCAACCTTGCAAAAAGGTTGAGGATTCTACGTTGTTGCTAAACGTTGTCACAACGATGTCATAAGGTTGCCATTTAAACATCACGAGGGCCGCATACTTTAGGTTGTGCTTAGGTGGCGTGGACAACCACTGTACAACATTTACTGGTCACAGCTGAATCAGTTTAAATTTCAACAAGCCGTCGTCTCATTCATCAACGACCGAGGAGACGTGAGTATTGCTTTATTTCTTCTTGCTAAATAAGATACGTAAATCGTGAATATTCAAACAAACCTACGATTTCGACAACAATCTGTTCCAACATTACACACACACAAAAGCCGTAATGAAGTTATTACGAGCGAGTAACATTTCAGCATTCCGTTCACGGACGGCGACAACATTAAAATCATTATGTTAAATCTCTCGATAAAACATTTCCTGATTATTTACCTACGCCTTGTCTTTAGTCAAATGGGAAATAATGTTTTTGAAGTTCAGTTTTTTCCATATCCATAGTGATCAGTCAGTATACTTCATCACACGAGCCGACCCACTTTTTACAAAACACACAAAACAACTTTTAAATACAAAACATCTCTGTGCAGTTTGCGTCCCGGTAAAGGGACAGTTCACTCAAAAATGATATGTACTCACGAATTATTTGCCCTGTAAATAATAAGTGATTCCAAACCTTTAAGTTTTTTTTTATTCTATTGAACACTAAAGACTGTAAGCATTTGCTTTCATAGTAAGAAAACACTAATTACAGTTACAGTTTTCCAGCTTTATTTAATATATCTTCTTTATTGTTCAGCAGAAAAAAAGCTAAATAAGTTTGGAACAAATAAAGGATGAGGCTAAATGGCAGAATTGTCAGTTTTGGGTGAGCTATTTCTATGGTTAAAGTATATAAGTTGATGTTCATATGCCTAATTAATATAGATATTAATAAAAAGGTCTGCTAGTCTAAATTTCTATTTTGATTGGTCTTTTGATGTTTTATTCTTTGCTCAACAGGCTATTTTCACATGGAGGAAATCTTCTATTGATAATTTCTGGGTTTTAAGTATGTGTAAGTTGCATAAAACTCTATTGTTTAACCACTCACTGTTGTTTTCAAATTCTTTATGTAACTTGTCTTTCAGAATTTTTTCAGCTGTTGAATTCACCTCAGATCAGTGTTGCTGTAATTCCTGATCTATGGAAAGAATAATTGAATGAGGTAAGAAGTATACTACTCTATTTACTATCATAATAAATGTAGCTATGTTACCTAAAACAGCATGTTCATAATGTGGAAAATAGATCATGCTTATGAAAAATTACTTTATTATTTTGTACAGCTGTTATTGAAATGACACTAAGTTTAACATTCAATTTACAGCGAGCAACGCCACAACTACAGGACCTCTTTCTCTTCTCATAATTTAAGTAAGTATTCGGAGACTAACTCTGACTTCTGTTAACTCAAACCTGTTTTCCCTGTATCTCTAAATTTATTTAATTGTATGTAATTTCGGTATATGATATATTATTAAAGCATTAAAATAAAGTAGGCTACATAATTACTCACTGGAGATTTTATATGTAATGAAATTACAATAAATGTCTGAAACTTCAATAACTTGCTAGTCATAGTCGTTTCCATCTGTCCTCTCTTGTTCACTGCCTATTTTGACTTGTGTCTGCTGTGGATCTCTGAAGCTGGATTATCTGTTGAATTTGTTTCTTCCTCTGACTGCTTTCTCCATACCAACAACTATGCCTGGTCTTCAGCTGCGCTCCCCGGTCTGCTGTATTCTCCAGTCCAGAGCTTCATTGCCCAGTGTCTGAATTTTAATTTCTATATTTATTTATATATATATATATATATATATATATATATATATATATATATATATATATATATATATATATATATATATATATATATATATTTACATTTTTAATGATTTCTTGTTTACTTTTCTTGTTTGTTTACCCTTTAGTTTAATTATATATATATATATATATATATATATATATATATATATATATATATATATATATATATAATCTAAACTTTATACTGTTTGCTTATAATTAGATGTGTACTGTATGTATAAAATGTTGTGAAATATATAATAAAAAGTTTGATTATATTCATTTGTGTGTTATTTTAAGTTTACACATGCAGTTGTTAAATTAAATAGGAAAAATAAATGAACAATATTTCATATTAAGCAATACTGGGAAAGAATTGCTGCTTATCCTGTATTCTAGGCAGTATTGATAAACTGCCACAAAAAATCTTAATACAAGTAGTAAGAACGCCGCCTCGCGGTTGCTGAATGTCGCACGACAACGTTGCTACAGCCTTCTCACGTCTTACATTTCTACGTTGTGACAATGTAGCGAGCACGTAAGCGGCAACGTTGCCTTTGAAAAAATACAACGTTGTGCAGACATCGCTACAACGTAAATGTGTTTGTTGGGGTGCTCTAACACAGCATTAAAGTTGTAGCAAACAAAGTAATGATACTTAGAAATAAACATATTTACTGTGGGAGAAACAAGCAGCAAAACAAACAACCATAAAACCATGGAGATTTATGCACGCCACACAAGAACAAATATTTACACATTGTCATTATACATTACCTCTCTGTAATATATAAACTAACCAATTATAGTTTGTAACATCCAATTAAACGTTAATACTGTGTTTTATAACCTGATAAACAGGTTTAGGAACAGGACAAGATCATATCCGTATTCTGATGAAAACACACACTAGAGTGTATCATTGGTCTTAAATATTCTTGGGAACCTATGAACAATATGCCAAAACTCACCTTAACCAGGCATCATAGTCTCACAGCAAATATCTACTGTAGTCTCTCAGACACCATTATTCTCTCACAGGACACCACTAGTCTTTCATTGAACATCATTCCTTTTTCACAGCACATCCAACACAATCTCACGGCAATTCGTAACTTTTTCATTTAGTGGCTAATTCGTACAAATTCGCAAGATCTAATTCGTACATTTTAGTACAATTTGCGTATCCCCCAATGACGGTTGGGTTTAGGGGTGGGGTTAGGTGCCACGCCTCCTTTTTAAAATCGTACATTTTCTTACGACTGAACTCGTACGAATTTGTACAAATTAGCCACTAAACTGCCAAAACATAAAATACTTACGTTTTCTCGTATGATCAGGCTGGCACATCACTAGTTTTTATTAGAATATAGTTAGTTTTTATATAAAATGTTGTTGTCCAGGATTTATAACCGGGTTTACAATAGGACTCTGGGTTAACCATTTCATTTTTTCTTTTTTTTTTTTTTTTTTTCAAAAATGTATTTTTGGAGAAAGGTCCACAAACTGGGATTTGAACACGGGAGCGCTTCTGCACAATATGACAATGCAGTAGCCACTGGGCTATTGTGCCAACCCATTTCATCATTTCCATGCTTTCCTCATTTTGGTGACCTATACAAAAATTCCAGGCTGATTGGGCGATGAATGTAGGAAAGAATCCTGCAGGCTGTCGAATGAGCTTCTGGTAAACATTTGCATTTACTTCTAGTCTTTCCCACAGTTTGTAAATAATGACTATAGCAGGTTTATTAGCCATAACTTTGTCACCAAGGATTTTCCAGACATTTACAAACAGGTTTATATCAGGACTCTGTGATGGCTATTTCATTATTTCCATGCTTTCCTCATTTTTAGTGTGTGAAGGGGCTCATTGACCTTTACAAAAATTCCTGGCTGATTGGGCGATGAATGCAGGAAAGCATTCTGCAGGCTGCCGTAGGAGCTTCTGTTAAACATTTGTATTTACTTCCAGTCTTTTCCACAGTTTGCTAATAATGACCATATTTGGTTTATTAGACCAGAATTTTGTTGTCAAAGATTTTCCAGAGATTTAAAATCAGGTTTATATCAGGACTCTGGGCTGGCCATTTTATTATTTCCATGGATTCAGCATGCTGTCGAACGAGTAACCATTTGTATTCACTTCTTCCAGTCTTTTCCACAGTTTGTGAATCATGACTATAACAGGTTTATTAGCCATAACTTTGTCACCAAGGATTTTCCAGATGTTTACAATCAGGTTTACATAAGGACTCTGGGCTGGCCATTTCATTATGTCCACGCTTTCCCTGATTTTGGTGAACGAAGGGGCTGATTTACCTATACAAAAATTCCTGGCTGATTGGGCGATGAAAGCAGGAAAGGATTCAGCATCCTGACAAAGGAGCTTCTGGTAAACATTTGTATTCACTTTTTCTAGTCTTTTCTACAGTTTGTAAATCATGACTATAAAAAGTTGGTTTATTAGCCAGAATTTTGTTGTCAAGAATTTTCCCAAAATTTGCAATCAGGAATACATCCGGATATTGGCTTTGCTATTCATTGTTTTATATTCAAATTTGCAATCAGGGCTCTGTGCTGGCCATTTCATTATTTCCATGCTTTCTTCATTTTGGTGTGCGAGGGGGCTTGTGATATACATTTGTATTTACTCTGTTATATACTGTAGCATTTAAAAAAGACACCATGATAAAGAAAACAATGACACGTCACCTCCACCTTTACTGAGATATTACTGATTCTTAAGGGTCAAATCCTACTACTGGCATCACTCCAAGTGGATTTGATAGAAACACAAGGGGGTGTTGAAGCATAAAGTCCCCACCTATGTTTCCGCTTCAGCAACTCCACTACAGATTTACTGTGCTTATGTATGTGTGCTTATATGTAGAACCAGCTCTGCGTGAACACTGTAGGACAGTGATATTCAGCCCATGGTGGTTACATCATCATCATTATCATGCTTGGAGATGATAGACTGTGTCTGTCCTCTGAGTGATGGAGTGTCTGTCTCTCCATCCATGGCTCCACAAAACACTTTGGCCTCAGTGACTGAAGGTTGTCATAGCAACAGAATACTCGCTATGTGGCTTCATTAAGCTTGGCACAGACGCCTGTGGGCAAACATGCAACACACACACACACACACACACACACACACACACACAAACACACACACACACACACACACACACACACACACTTTCATTTTGTTAATATAAACTCAGTAAATATGTGTACACAATCTTAATGAGTAATTAACAAAATGAAATTGTAGTCTAGACAAATAACACTCAACCAGCCTTTGCTTTATGTGAACGCAAAAGAAACATTTTATGCAAAAATATAAAGGCTAAATACATTTCAGTCATATTAGACACTCAGGGTTCCAATAATATAGTAAATGAGATGAAAATACTGCCATCCAGTGGCACAAATGACATATTACAAATCTCCTTTGACTAAACGTTCTTTAGCAATACAGTATAAAGACCAAACATTAAACGACTCACCATGTATATTTGTGTGTGTGTTTGGTCTTCACATATGTTGGTACAAATGTACTTTTGGCTCAAAAAACAGGAGCAGAAAAATGTGTCATATCAAAGATTGAACACTAGAGGGAGTCAGTTTATTAATATCGTCTTAGGTTTTCATTGAGTTCACAGGAATGAAATCAAGCTTGACGTCCCTGATCAAATCAACATGATGATGTGCAAACAGATAAGAAAATGCAACGTGTACAACTGGGTAAAGGCATAAGGAGATAACCTGAAACAGATTAAAACAATCATTGTTTTTTGTAGCATATTGCTAAGTAGTTTGGAGAGACGGGCTTATATACCAAGCTAAATATTTTCAAAATGGTACACGGTATTCGATACATGATACTACAAATTGGATCTGTCATCTCTGACAACAAAATTGACTGCAAGGTGACTTGCTGCAGCTTCATGTAACGATATTGAATGAGGTAAGCCTCTACAGTCTACAGTATCATATAATCCTTCTGACATCATACTCTATTATTTTTAAACGTGTTTTGTTGGTAGCATCAGTTTTTATTATAAAAAACATATTTGTTGTTAATTTGTGTTAATAAGCAAATTTAAAGGAATGTATGAATTTAATTTAATCTTAAAACATGCTAGCATTTCCCCTAAAGCATGTCAGGAACAGAGACATAAGCAAACATGCTAAAATGTGCTAATAACATGTATAAAAAATATTAAAGCATGCTATCGACAGGTTAAATCATGCTAGCTACTTGCTAAATCATGCTAAGCTACTTAAATCCTAGCAATCGAACAAACCCTTTTATAAACATGCTAGCAACTTGTTAAATGTCATGAACAATAAAATAAGTATCGGATAGCCTGTGCTAAAACATGTTAGCATTAGGCCCAAAAGCATTGGAAATAGGCTAGCAGCAAGCAAATAATTTGCCACAATAATTCAAACTAAGTCCCAGTCAGAGTTGTGTTTAATGTTTTACACAACTGACACTAAACAATGATTATTACACCCGTATTTTGATTTATTAGTTAATTTCCGTTTGAACT